CTTAAGTACAGTAACGAAGTATTTGTACTCCGTTACTTCCCATCTCTGACTCCAGCCCCGTACTTATGGGAGTAACGGTTTCAGTATTAAATGCCATGAACACCTCTGTGCGGCACTTAAATAAACATCCTCTCTCATGCTGGTCATCGGGTCACCAAACCTTTATTCTCCTGCCTCCTCATCAGACCCGATGTTCTGCTGGTTCAGCTGGATCCGTGGTTCTGGTACAGACTTATGTCACAGCCGACAGAACGGGCCGGTTCCCTTGGAGACGGGGTTGGCTCCTGGTTGGCTGGTTGAGCCGCCTCCTCTGCCTCAGTGCAGCACAGAGGGCCATTGTTCTGTGTTTACTAGGATTTTGGATATCTGTGTTTGCATTATTGATCAGTTTGTCAGTTTTTTATTGGGCCTGAATGTGAGAGAGAATAAAACTGAACGGATGAAAACAGATGAGAGGCGGCAGTCAGAATAGGATCCCAGTATAACTGTGTTATCCACCCAGTCCCAGACTGGTAATGGGAATCATGCATGCAGCCTCAGAGGACATACTGTGACTAATATCAGCTTTTTCATTCTCCTCAGTTTGTTTCTGTCTCCGGACAGAAACGCTGAAAACATCCTTTAGTAGCAGAAAAATGGATCTGATGAAAAGTTTCCCGTGAAGTTAATAAATATCATGTTGTTCCTAACCACTTAACACTCCCTGCGTTTCAGGAACCATCCGTCCCGTCCGGAGGACTTTTTATGACCCGGCCTCCGCCCCGGGTCAGGGCTGGCAGTGGGAGTGGGAGAACGACGCGGGAACGTGGACGCCGTACGACATGGAGGTGGCCATCGCCATCGAGAGCGCACACAGCCGCCAGCAGACCTGCCTGGACCTGACGCCGCTCGGGTTCTGCTACCTCATCGACTTCAAGAACATGACGCAGGTCTGTTTAACAGAGGAGTTCTGGGGTCTAAAAGGTTCTAAAAGCGGTGTGGGAAACAGGCCCAGATCTCTGTTTGGACCCAAGTTCTAGAGGTCGCTAATAGACCAGAATTATTATTGTCACTTTTCCTTCCACCAAATTTTCCATAGATATATTATAGGATAGAAAGCTGGGTGGACACTCCGCCTCTTACTACTGACCCGTGTTCTGGACATCCGTTCCATTAGCGGCTCAACCAGTGATACTTACTGTTGGACCAGAACCTCCAAAGTTTCTGGTTCTTTTAGAGCCTCACTGTTTTAATCAGCTGTAATTATTTAACTAAATTGTTCTATAAATAATTTGACCTTGTTTCATGATGAAAATTCCGTTTTGATCCACATTCTGACTGATCCTGTTTGGTTCGACCCGCAGGTCAACAGGCAGAGCCAGCGGTGCCGTAGGATCCAGCGGCGTGCAGACATAGCGTACCCGCTGGTGTCCGGTCCACTTCCTGTCCCCAAAGGAGGAGGCGTCGGTGGAGGGGGGGGCCTAACCGGAGCGTTGCTGGGGGTCGGGGTGTCCGGAGCCAGCATGGGGGTGGGCAGCTCCGTCACCTCCAACGGAGGCCTGCAGGTCCTGGGCCTGGGCCAGCCCTGCTCCTGCCAGCAGTGCATGCTGGTCCTGAGCGTGAAGAGCAATGCGGGCGGGGCGGGGGGCGGCGCCGCAGCCATTCAGACTCTGAGCCGGCGAGCTTTAACCATGCAGCGGCCCAAGAACTCTGCGGCTCCCGCGGTCAGATCCCTGAGCCCGTCCAAATCTGCCACACTGGGGCGGGGCCTCCAGCAGAACCCCGCCTACTACCAGACGCTGCCGCACGGCCTCGCCATCACCAAAAACACCGCCTCGCCTCGGAGGAACGCCCAGCTCTTCGCCCAGTCGCTGGCCGCTCTCACCGCCGGTACCTCCTCCATGGGCCTCTCCGTGTCTTCCAGCAGACCCCCCCCTCCGTCTCTGCCGCCGCCGCAGCCTCCCTGCAACCAGAACCCACCGTCCATCCCGCCCAAGCTCTCCGCCTCCACCTCTTCATCCAACGCCAACGACTCAGTGCCGACCGCCACATTGATCACCCCTGCCAGCAGCGTGACCACGCCCCCCTCCCCGGTGCCGTCTCCGTCGCCCGTGGTGATGAAGCCGCAGCGTTCCGCATCCACAACAGTGTGCCACGCCCCCTTACCGCAGCGGTCCAGTCTGGCCGGGCTGAGCAGGCCGGCGCTGCAGAGGATCGCCATGGCCCAGTCCAGATCGCTCATAGCATCAGGGTGAGTGCAGAACCCACAACTCTGCAGGTTCTAACATGTAGATCCGCCCTGCAGAACAGGGCGGGTCCAGACAGGCTGGTTAAAGCTGTCAGTTAGCGTCCTGGAAAAGCTCCAGTTTAGTCTGTAAACAGCTGCAGGTTGGTTGCTGAATATTTCTCTGGTACGTCACTGATTTACCGGATCGCTCTCTGCATCAGTGGGTGGAGTTTCATGACGGGCTTGAACTCAGAAGAGCAATGCCTTAACCACTAAGGGCTGGTTTTCCTCCTGCAGCAGCTTGTTGCAGATATTGAAGCGTGGTCTGTGCTATGTTATTCCCCGCCACAAAGCAAGAGGGACAATCAGGAACTAGCTGTGGGTCTAGATATGTTCAGAGTAACAGCAGTTGTTAGATCTCACCGCAGGCTGAGAGGTTGGTTCTACAGAACCGCTGGTGTCGGAGGACTTAAAGACCAGTTAGGTTTCCTGCTCCACTGAGGGCCCCACAGGGTACTGTGATGATTTGGCTTCTGAATCGACTTTAGGTTCTGTTTGCAGTGTAGTTTAGAAACAGATCTAATAGTAATATCTGTGTACGTCCTGATATGAAAGAACATCATTGATCGCTCCTGATGCAAAGGGAAGATCTATTCAGTCTGATTCTATGTTAAATTAAGGCTTTCTTGGGCTACTGTATAAAGCCTGGAACTCAACGCCATTCCTGACATTTTAAGTTGCCAAAGCTTCCTGGGTGGGAAGAGAAACATCTTCAAACTTGGAAACAAAGTCCAGTAAATTGTTTTTAACTTTTTTGGAACGGTAAATGAAGATTAACTGAGCTTCCTTTTTATCTGACTGTGATATCAGAATCCTGACAGCTGGAGGTTGAATCTGTTCTGTTTTTTCCTGTGTTTATGATAGGGGTGTGCAAAATAATCGTCATGATGATGCATCGTGATTCTAATTTTCGTGATCTACTGCATCGATTCTTGATGCCAAGTATCGATTATTAATTTTAAAAAATGAATAAATAAAATTGCATGAATGGTTGGCGAACATCAGCCAAAAACAAGTGTAATACAACTTCCAGTCCAGTAAATGTTGCTGCAAATGTGTTGACGCACGCTGCCTTGTGTCACAAGCATTTCCGGCCGCGGGATACTGCGCCGAGTCATTCAAAAACAAAACATAGAGGAGAAAATATTGCAATGCATCGCATTATTTCAAGTATCGTGATGCATCGTGATAGAATCGCATCGTGACTTCTTTGGCAATACCCACCCCTAGTTTATGACTATGTTCTGATCTTCCACTGTGTAAATGTTCACAGATATAACTGCTGGTGGAGATAATGATGAGAACATTAAAGCAAACTGAGCTTTGCTAGCAGAAACATATCAGAATCAGCAGAGATTCAACTATTATATTAGATTCAACTTTATTGTTATTACACATGTACAGGTACAAGGTAATGAAATGCAGTTTAGGTCAAACCAGAAGTGCAATAGCAGCAAGTGCAGGATAAATAATGGTTCCATAAATACAGGACATGGGTTTCTACTGAATGAGTTTAGAGATGAATACCATTATAAATAATGAATATAATATATAGATTACTAGTGTTATGAACTAAATTTACAGCTAGATATGTACCAAATATAATATACAGATGGATATAACTATAAAATGAATAAAAAAAAGTTTGGAGAAGCTATCTAAATTAATTGGATCAGAGAGGAAAATAATCTGGATCAGTTTATCTCTGGTTCTGCAGGTTCACCTCAGATCTGATCATCGGCTCTACTTCCTTTGCCCCCCCCACTCAGTTAGTGGGTGGTTTTCCCCTTTCTAGAGAAATGCCACTGTGGTCGGGTCAGAACCAACTGAAAGTTCTCTCAGATTGTCGCTGGGTGTAGATTTTATTTTCTATCAGGGGGCCTCCTCCTCCTCCTGCCAGGGCCCCTCAGAGCCCCTCAGAGCCCCATTGTTGGTCTCCACAGTAACCTTTGTTGGGTCGGCCAAGCCTGGGACACATTAGCAGCACAATGCTGAGGCTCGGCTGCTCTTCACGTCTTTCCGCGTTCCTCTGCTCCCCCTCCCCCTCCTCCTCCTCTCAGCCTGCTTCATTTTCTCTCCCTATTCCTCCTTTTCCCGTCTGCCGTTGTTCAAACACGTGTTTATTGATCCTCATTCACTGGTTTCACCTCCTCTGTGAACCAGGTGGACAGTTCGAATTAATGGAGGATTTCTCCTGATCAGATAGAATCACACACCTCACTATTCGGGGTTAAAGGTCGTGGTGGAGCTCGTTATCACTTTGCTGCACAGAACTTGGCAGAATTGGTGGAGTTCCTTTAGTCCAGTTTTTCTTTGGGTGGGGGTCAGAGCCGGGTATCGCTGAGCTCTAAAACGAATTTATTCAGAGCCGCAAAAAACACGACCCTTCAAAATAAAATAGTTTTTATATGATCTTTTTTGGTTTTATAACTTTCAAAGTTTGTTAAAATTGAAATACGTTTTGGATAATCTTGCAACCAAAATGGGATCATCTGCTCCCGTCTGCTTCCTGTTCACAGAAAACCTCCAGTGAACCCATGCAGACCTCTGCTGCCGTTTCTGTTGCAGCTGTTGTCTAACTCCTCCATGTCGACATGTTCCAACTCCTCTTCTTCTACTACTCAGTGCGTGCTGCTGGCAGGCCCGGACACGCATTCACGCCGTAAGCCAACTGCTCCGGGGTCCAGATAAAACATGTCCAGACCGGCGGCTGCCGTTCTCTGGTTGTTGGCTTCATAGCAACTGGGTCTCTTATGTCATAGTTTGGTCCAGAACCATCAGATTTAAAGGTCCACTTTGTTTAGGCTCTGCTGCTGACCCAGATTAACCCAGGCGTCCCGCAGCCTTCAGCATGGAGGTGAATCATTCCCGAGTTAGAGAGCAGACAGTGTTCCTGCTCTGCTGTGCAGCAATTCCTGCTGGCAGTGGGGAGGGGGGGTCAAATACATGGATATAAATAAACGTAGGAGACGACCTCCGACTCAGAGCCTTAGAGTGGGGGTGGGGGGGCAGAGGACAAAGAAACGAGTCAGCAGACTGTCATACATTGATCACGACGTGGTGCAAGAAATCAGGCCAACTGCACACAGACAGAGACACCCCCCCACACACACCCACACACCCCAACACACACATGACTGTGAAGGCATGTAGCACACATTGTCCTCCCCTCACACACGGTAGCAGTAAATATTGGCAGAGGGGACGTGAAGTGAAGGATGTGAGATTTGAGGGGGATGCTGAGAACGAGACAAAGAGATGAGGAGGTGGAGGGAGGGGTGCAAACGAGCAGGAGTAGGGGGGGAGGGGGTCCTTGAGTCTGCGAGCAGCAGCAATGTGCCGTGAGAACGCAGCAACACCTGTTAGTTCAGCAACAGGTTTCTGTGTGAGGCCTGTAGGAGGAGCTGTTGCTGGAGTTCTGTCAGATGAGCATACCCATAATCAATATCCATTTATCCCTTTAGTTTCTATGAAAAAAAAAACTTTAAACTACCTCACAGGCCTATATCCCTTTAGTTATGTACAAAAAAACAATTTAATTACTTACTTTTTGGTGTTTTTTTAAGCGTATGGCGAGCTGACCTTAAATTGTTTTGTTTTGGGACATGAACAAAGGGATACATGCCTGTTGAGGTAGTTTAAAGTCTATTTTTCGTACAAAACTAAAGGGATAAACGCAAATCTGACGTCTTCAGCATGAGTATTGACTAGGGATGCACGATATTGGGATTTTGGCCGATATCCGATATGCCGATATTTTAAAACTCATGTAGCCGATAACCGATATCGATAC